TTTAGTTTTAAAACGTGAAAAAAATATTATTTTATTTTTAATTGAGACAAAACCAGCAAAATTTATGTCGAATTTTCTCACAGAAGTTCGTGTTGGGCGGAGCGACATGTGCTCCTTCGAGGAAAATATAAATATAGCCGCTTTCTTGTCGTTTTTCAATAAAACACCGCATTATTAATAACGCGAATGTCGTATTCTCACGCTTCTAAATTAATCAAACTTGTTAATAATGCATCGAGAATTGGACGTAACAAAAACCGCATTGCGATAGGAGAGAGGAATCAACTTAAAACCGGTGAAATTTGCTAATTAAGTCCTCTCTCTGGGCATGTGACACGAGTTACCGTGTTGAATAGTGAATTAAGCGCGATTGATAGTGTTCGCGGTGAAGATCAAAGCAATCAACGGCCATTATGGGGGCCTAGAGTAGTACGAATACTCAGCACTGTTGTATTGTTGGTAATTAAGCCAATGTTGCCGCTGAACATTGCTAGACTATTGTCTGATACTTTTGGTCGCCATTACCACCGATGATGCGGCGTTTACCAACAAGAGATCTAAACGGCATGAATGACGGCAATTGGAAACCGATTCAATATACAAGAGAAAAAAACATCACTTTTGGACTCGTGTAGTAACACTCACCATTTGTTCTTTTTCTTGATGTAGTCCTTTTCGGAAAGGTTCACCAGGTATATCGTCGGCTTTGAGGTCAGGAATAAGTATTTGTTCAACACCTCGATCTGCGAAAAGACTATCATTGGAGACGAGATTCAAATCAAAACTGATAAAATGTTCTAGAATTTCACCAAAAATTTTTACACCAATAGGTACATTTTTATGTGATTTTAGTCTAATTTATAAATTGCTAAGTTACAGTAGTAATAAATGTTATTAATTAAAAAATTGTATTTTTGGTAAAAATTAGATGATTTATCTGGATTAGAAAACTTGCTTCAACTCGAAATGTAAGTTTTCACCACTTTTTGAAGAAGACAAATATTGAATTAAAAAATACCATAAATTTGTAGCTCTTTTGTGAAAAAAATTATAATTTATAAAAAAAATCAATGTGTTTTGAAGGTGCAGATAAAACTTGACACATCTGGAACGTGATTAATTATTACGTACTCACAACTTTTTTTCTTCTTAATTTTTTTGCACACAATATTGTCAGAGTATAAAAAATTTGTTTTGGTCTAGTGTTTTTCTTAAAAAAATAAGACTGATGGTGTAAAGAATTATAATGTATTTATTTCCTCATTTTTTATTTTACAAAATTAGCACTATTTTCGACGATGAAATTTTGTTAAATAATCGCGTTTTCAGTTGAAAAATGTGAAAAAGCAAAAATAATGTCATTTTAACGGACTCTCATCAGTTTTAATCTCAAAAAAAGTCTTAAATAACATCAATTTCAACCAAATTTGGTAATTTTTCAATATATTTTTTAATAATAGAGTTTTTAGTCAAAAACATCAAAAAATAATAAAATATTCACATAATTTTTATCGAAATTTCCCAAAACTGCGTTTCTAGCTGAAAAACGCTCAAAAAAGAGCAAAAATTACACTATTTTCTTTGTGGTTTTTTGAATTATTTTTGACAAAATTGCGCGTTTGTAGCTGAAAAACGTCAAATTAACACCCAATTTGTTGATTTTTTGGTTTAGTTTTAACGAATTTGTTATTGTTTTTGGTTGAAAAACGTACTAAGAATCTCAAACAAGGTAAAAAATATAATTTTTAAACTAATTTATTATTATTTTTGTTCATATTTGAATATTTATTCTATTTTGGAACTATAATATTGTTTCTAAGCACCCAAAAGCGGGCATAATTTGGCTTTTAAAGACCTTTGACCTTTTTTTATAACCAATTATAACATACAACAAAAAGCAATCCAAAATACAACTAAAACGTTGTATGTATCACAAGCAATGAAATAACAATATGCAAAAATACATTTGGTGGTTAGCGGTTAACGTCGGGCTTTAAACAACACAACAAAAAAGTAGGATATTTTTTATTTTATTTTGCAAAAATAATATAATTTTCGATACAAAATAACAATTTTTCAGTAAATTTTTGACGAAATAATTGCACTTTTATCTGAAAAATGTGGTAAATCACGAGCAAAAAAAACAATTTATTAACTTTCACGCCCGATTTAGAGTTTTTATGCTTGACTTCCTAAAAACAAAATAACACTAATTTCGACCAGATTTAGTAATTTTTCAGCTTGTTTAAAAAAATCTTCGAAATAATGGCATTTTTGGCCGAAAAACGTAATAAAACGTTCAAAAAAGACAAAAATTATGTCATTTTCAACCAAATTTGGTGATTTTTCGGATTATTTTAGTTAAAAACGTAGAAAACCGCTAAATAAAACCAAAAATAAAACCAATTTCGACCTAATTTGATAATTTTCGGCTTGATTTGAATGAAATTTTTAAAAATAATGACAATTTTGCCTAAAAAAATGCTAAAACTCTAAAAAAAACAAAAATGATGTCATTTCCCACATAATTCGGTAACATATTGACAAAATTTCGCGAAATAATTGCGTTACTAAACCGCTCAAGAAAGTCAAAAATAGTGTTATTTTCGACACAATCTAGTAACTTTTAGGCCAGGTTTAGCAAAATCTAGCGAGTTTTTATCTCAAAAACTTGTTTAAACTCTCAAAAAAGCCAAAATAACACCAATTTCGACCAAATTTGAGCAGTTTTCAGCTTATTTCCAAAGAAATTCCTCGAAATATTTTATGACCAAAAAACGTGCAAATTCTGTTCATTTGTTAATAACAGTACCAAAAATTTTGTATTTTTGTCTCTTGAGTCCATCAAAATTTCTAAAATCTARATTTGATTACAAATTATCAAATTTTGTTAATTTTTCAGCTTATTTTAAAGGAAATTCTTCGAAATCATGAGGTTTTTGACCAAAAAACGTGCTAAAACTCTGCATAGATACATAAATTACGTCATTCTATGAGTTTTCGAATTATTTTTGCCGCGATTTCAAAAAATAACTGCGTTTCAACCTATAAAAACGTACTAACACTATGAAAAAAAAAATATCAACCTGTTGATATTTTTTCGGATTATTTAAAATAAAATTGAAAATAATGACGCTTTTGACTGAAAAATATGTCAAAACTTAAAAAAAAATTATGTCATTTTCAACCTAATTTGCCTCATGAATCAACCAAAGTTCTAAAACCTATATTTCCTTACAAATTATAAAATTAATAAAGAATCAAAAAATATACACATTGTAAAATTGATAAAATCAACCTAAATTCTGTTAATGTTTTGATAAAAACAACAACAATTTTGCCTAAAAAACGTGCTAAAACTCTCAAAAAAAGGACAAAAATCATATCATTTTTGACAAAATTTCGAGAAATAATTGCGTTACTAGCTGAATAATGTGTTAAACCACTCAAAAAAAAATCCATAGATCCAACTTTTCACTCGGTTCAGCAAGATTTGCGAGTTTTTATCTCAAAAAATTTCCTTACTTTCAAAAAAGATCAAAAAATACCATTTCGAACCAATTTTGACAATTAACAGAACTAAATGGTATTTTTTTAAACAAATTTTATGTAATTAGTTTTCAAAAGAAAAATCTTACATAACTGTTGAAATTTGTTTTTTTTTTAAACACAAAAATCTCCAGTTATTAAAATTTGACTTGGACTGTTTTTTTATATCGGAATGACTCTGTGCAATGCTAATCGGGCATAATATGATCACCACCTGGTGATTCCCCCATTGTCGATTGGCATTGACACCGCTTGGGGTTTGGAACCCAGCAGGAATCACTTACGGTGTTGGCAAGACATGGAACAGGTCAACCATGACATGCACATTCTCTCCCGATCGATTTATCAAACCTCGACACTAATAATCAAACTTTTCCACCCTAGTTAAGAAAAAAAACAAAAAAAAACAACCAGCCACACTTACATCTTTAGCATCCCAATCGCCGAATCTTATATGTTTCTTCTCCCCACACAGCACTCCTTGTATCTTAACTAGAGTATCCTACAACAGAAGAACGTCACATTAGTGGTGCGACCTTTAACCTCGATGAAACTAATAAGGCAACACCTGTGGGGTGGCGACCGCCCGTTGTCTTTGGCCCAGCATGAGCCGCCCCGAGTTGTCGTAATCGAATTAAGTGATGAATCGGCGGGATTTTTTCCGATTCGTTTGCATTTTAGAAGGGAAAGTGGTGAAGGTGGATGCGATGACTTTACATTTGGAGAACGGATACGATGTGTTGTATGGAAATGAATGGCAAGGACTTGTGTGGTCTCGAAGATTTCATTATGATTGGGAGGCCGACGCAGCGGGGCCCAAACGCTGATGTTATCCACGATTTGACATTGTATTGTAATCGGATAAGAGGTGTTGGCGGCGCTGACATTCTTTGATGCCACACGAATCAACACAAAAAGAGTTTTTTTTTCATCATTTTATTTATTGTTTTTTTTTCATACAAATTTTTGTGTGGAAAATTGCTAATTACGGCAAATTTGATATTAGATATTTTTTAATTCAACTTTTCAAATAAATTACTAAAAAAAGAGTAAAAAAAACAACAATTTAAAGCATTAAAGCTACAGTGTAATTAACAGAAAATAAAATTAGCAAACAATGACAGCAACTTTTTTTGTTGTTAAATTGATTAAAACAGACAGTGTATTTCGACAAATCACCCTATATTTGTGTTTTTTAAGTATTCTAAAAAAATCTATTAAAATTATTACTGCGTGATTCAAAAAATTCCAAAGAAAATTGTTAACTAAAGCAAATTTTATCCTTAAAAAGTTATAGACTTCGTAACATTAAATATTTTTAATTAGAACTTTTCATGACTTGTATTCTAAAAAAATAAAAATATTAAACAGTAAAGTCCCTGTATTACTAAAAAAGTAAAAAGCACCAAAATTTGGCCAAAAAAACCCTGTATTTGTGTTTTTTAAATCTGTATTCATATAAAAAAAATTCAAAAAAAAATATATGATAAAATGATGTTATTTTTTGACGTTTATCAAAACACTTCCTACAATATTTTAAAACTCAAAAAATCAACGTCTAATTCTGTCCGTTTCTTGATGATAATATCAAAAAAAATTGTATTCTGGTCTCTTGGAACCACTAAGATTTTTAAAATTTATATTTCATTAAAAATCAAGGATCAAAAAAATTAGAAGAAAAAAAAACATTCTTTATTTTATTTTGCAAAAATTACATAATTTTGGACCAAATATATTTTATATATTTTTTTTGGCTTACTTTTTGACAATAATTGCGTTTTTAGCTAAAAACCGTGCTAAACCGCTCAAAAAAGTCAAAAACAGTGTTATTTTCAACACAATTTAGTAACTTTTAGACCAGGTTTAGCTAAATCTGGAGAGTTTCTATCTCAAAAACTTGCTTAAACTCTCAAAAAAAGCAAAATAACACCAGTTTCGACCAAATTTCAGGTTATTTCTGAAGAAATTCCTAGAAATAATGGCGTTTTTGGTTAAAAATCGTGCTAAAACTCTGAAAAAAGGCAAAAATGATGTCATTTCTAACCTAATTTGATGACATTTTGAATTATTTAGAACAAATTTCGCAAAATAATTGAGTTTCTGACAAAAACGTCAAATTCTGTTCATAGTATCAAAAATTTTGTATATTCATCTCTTGAGTCCATCGAAATTTCTAAAATCCAAATTTTTTTTCAGCTTATTTTTAAAGAAATTCCCCGAAATCATAGTGTTTTTGACCTAAAAACTCTTTAAAAAAACATAAATTTCGTCATTTTTAATCAAATATTATGAATTTTCGAATAATTTTTGACGCAATTTAAAAAAACTGCGTTTTTACCACGTGCTGAAACTCTAAAAAAAGACAAATAAGATGTCATTTCTAAGCCAATTTGATGACATTTTAAATTATTTAGCACAAAATTTCGCAAAATAATTGAGCTTCTGACAAAAACGTCAAATACTGGTTATTTGTTGATAATAATATCAAAAATTTTGTATTTCTGTCTCTTGAGTCCATCAAAATTTCTTAAATCCACATTTGATTACAAATTATCAAATTTTGGTGATTTTTCAGCTTATTTTTGAAGAAATTCTTCGAAATCATGAGGTGGTTACATATTACGTCATTTTCAATCAAATTTTATAAGTTTTTGAATTATTCCTGAAGCAATTTCAAAAAATTGCTGCGATTCAACCAAAAAAACGTGCTAAACACTATGAAAAAAAAACGACCTACTGATATTTTTACGGGTTATATAAAATAAAATTGAAAACAATGACGTTTTTCACTGAAAAGTGGTCCAAAACTTTCTAAAAATACAAAAATGATGTCATTTCGAGCCTAATTTGATGACATCCTAAATTTTTTTTCGCGAAATAATCGTGTTTCTGACAAAAACGTCAAATTCTGTTCATTTTTTGATAATAGTACCAAAAATTTTGTATTTTTGTCTCTTGAGTTCATCAAAATTTCTAAAATCGACATTTAATTACAAGTTATCAAATATGGTGATTTTTCAGCTTATTTTTGAAGAAATACCTCAAAATCATGGAATTTTTGACAAAAAAACGTGGTAAAACTTTAAAAAAAGACTAAAATTACCTCATTTTCAATCAAATTTAATGAGTTTTCGAATAATTTTTAACGTAATTTCAAAAAAAAACTGCGTTTCTACTAAAAAACGTGCTAAACACCTTGAAAAAAAATTCAACCTATTGATATTTTTACGGGTTATTTAAAATAAAATTAAAAACGTTAAAAAAATACAAAAATCATGTCATTTTTAACCTAATTTGCCTCCTGATTCCACCAAAATTTCTGAAACCTATATTTCTTTACAAATTATATAATGAATAAAAAAATATACACATTGTAAAATTGATAAAATCAACGGAAAATTCAGTTTATGTTTTGTTAAAAAAAATTGAATTTTCATAAAATTACACACAAAAATAAATATAAAAATCGATTAAGGATAAAACCAATGATAAATCCTGATCATTTTTTGATTAATGAATTTTATTTACCATACTCGTAAAGTATCATTTTTTTTCAGGGTCTCTGAAATCCTAAAATTTTCATGTTTTCCCTCACAGTGTACGGTAAACTTGACAGATGCCTAAAAATGCCTAAACAAAAATTCGAAATTAAAAAAGAAACATTTTTTTTAAAGATTAATCAGTAGATAGAAATTTGTAGATAAATCAATGATTAAATTGAATTTAAACAATAATGGAAAAAAATTATGGGCCGCCGCGGTCACCCGACCTGAATCCACTCGACCTAATTACTCACATATTCCGGCTTCAATTTCTTATCACCTCCTCTAAGAACAGTCCGTTCCAACTTTTCCATATTCTTCAAAAGCGTATCTTCATCCTTGAGCCTCAATTCCTCGGCTATAATATCCAAATCCCTGACGGGATTAACCTCACCTTCGACATGCGTAACATCATCATCCTCAAACGCCCCTAAAACCCCCATTCACCCTCTCGTTTTTTTTCAATTGCTGTAAATCTTACGACACAAGTGAAAAATGGCATCGCACGCACTGATGTGACTCAAAAAGGCATTGCCCAATCCCTGGCCTTCGGAAGCCCCCTTGACCAATCCGGCGATATCCACAATGTTCAAAAACGCTGGCACTTTACTACAAAAAACAGACTTTATGTTTATCTCTGGGTCTACATCAGCACCCTTTGATCTGAAGCTAATGAAGATCCTTTGTGCTGTGCTGACCTCATCAGACTTGCAGATCGGAAAGCGTCGCTTTTCTACACGACATTTCTCTCCCCAATTTTATTTTATGGACGCAATCTGCCGTAAAAAGACGCCAGATATTCAAATCGAGGGAATCACAATAATTTTATTGCGCTCTCTCGAAGGATAAATAACGATTATTGGCTTTCATGTTGAGTCTCGATGGTGGATAAAAAAAAAAATAAAATAAATTTCGACTGTGATGCTCAAATGAAAACGATCTCTAATGATAGAAATTGGGACGAATTGGCGACGTGGAGGCTATAATTTGTCGCGATTTGGGACAAATGGTTTCGGAGACCCCGAGGCCGAATTGTGATTATTGTTCGAGACAAAAAATTTTAATCGGGGACCTTAATTGAATCTCGGGGGTTTGCTTGTGTATTTATCGTATTATTTAGGGACATGCGACGGCGACGTCGACGGCGCCATCATTGTAACCCCGACGACGCTCCGCCTTTAAAACCGCATTTCATTTACGTGATTATTACATAAAACTGGTACATTTTAAAGGAAATATAGCCTCTAATAACGCACATTTGTCACGGCACGGCATTTTCTTCAGCGAATTCGAAACAAAAGAAAAGCTCTTTGTAAAAATAACAAGCGAAATAAATCAAATTTCGTAACTTTTTATTCCACAACAAAAAAAATCTTACTGTTGACTAAAAAAACATGTTGAATAGTCATTTTTGACATTTTTCGAAATACTAAACAATATTGTTAACTGTCATTTTGAATCACCTTGTATTTTTATTGTAAAGTAAAAGAAAAGTTTTCTAATTTCAAACAGCTTAAATTATTATTATATAAAAAAAGAATCTAAAGATAATTATTTTAAACAACAATCGAAGACACAATTCGGCTGAAGGAAAAATAAAAATAACAGAAATTGAAAGTATAACAATTTTTTTCACATTTATGATAATAAAAATCCAATTAGTCAACCAAAAAAAAACCCGAATTCGTAAATTCTTGATGTTGACTCGAAAAATATGTCAAAACATATCATTTTTTGGGATTCATACAATTTGTTAACTAATTTGTTAATCACCCTGTATTTGCAAAAGTAAACTTTAACACAGCTTAAATTATTGAAAAAAAAATGAGATAATTATTTCAAATAACATAAATGAAGACAAAATTTGGCTAAATAACTGAAATCAAAAGTATTTTTTTCACGAAAAATTGAAATTCTTAAATTCTTGGTGTTGACTCAGAAAAAAACATGTCAAATAGTGATATCACTTTTGACATTTATCAAAATCCTATACAATTTTGTTAACTATCATTTTGAATAACCCTATATTTATCTTGTGGAGTAAAAGTAAACTTTTCTAATTCTAAACACATAAATATTTAAAAAAAATCAAATACAATTATTTCAAACAACACAATCGAAGACTCAATTTGGCTAAATAAAAAATTAAATGACAGAAATTGAAACTAGTATTTTCATATTTACCTATAATAATAAAAATCCAATTAGTCAACCAAAAAAAAAAAACCGGAATTCTAAAATTCTTGATAGTGACTTAAAAAAAAACATGTCAAAATATGTTATCATTTTTTGACATTTATCAAAATACTGTACACTATTGTTAACTATTATTTTGAATCACCCTGTAAAGTAAAATTAAACTTTTTTAATTGTAAACACAGTTTAAACTATTTAAAAAATAAT